AGATATTGAAAAATCTTAACGTGTCTGTTTTACATATATATAATATATAAATTAAATAACTTAAAACAGTTCATACCACCAAAATAACGTCCCACTTTCGAGTCTTGCAACAGTGTATAAAGCACAAGTATGAAGTGATACAATTCTGTCCAATGTAAATTCAGTAAAAGCTTGCGCTGGATGTTCAAGGCGGGAAGCAACATGTCCTAAAAGTTCATCGAGCCAAGTCGCTACCTTTCCACTTTCTGTGCTAACAGAACATCGAATTGCCGTAGCAGATATATTAATTATCTTTTCTGTTATCAATGCCAAAGGAATAGTTTTTGGATGATGTACATTCGGATTCTGTAAAAATTTCAAAAAGTGAAGCATATAATAAAAATATATATATAATATATATAATTACAATACATTTGCAACAGTACTTCTGTATTTTTATATGGTTCCGATTCTGTCCATTTCCATTGGTATAACTGTCCTGATACGGAAACTGCAATTAGTTCACTGTAAAGCGAAGCGATTTGTACAAAGCGGGGTACTGGATCGCAACTTCGATCGTGCCACCATTCTAATTCTTCGGCTATCCATAGTGGACTCTGCGAAGCCAATTCCTTTTTTTTGTTATCTGGAATATTAAAATGAGAAAACAATTAAAAACTGCAATCTTCTATTCAATAAAAGTGTGTTTAATTTCTTTTATAAAATACCTGAATCTTTTTCCCATGAATCTTTAAGAGCAGTTTCCAACCAACGTCGCGGTCCATAATATTGACGATCTCGCCATCTGCTAAAACTATCACGATCTCGATCTCTTTCATGAGATGAACGCTCGTTTTCTCTGTCGTTACCTAAACGACGCGAAGAACTTCCACGACTAAAAATAAAATATTTTCTTAAAAACACATACACACACATTTTATATAAATAGTATATATACATTTTTTAAAACTTTGCAGACTTTTAAGTCACTAAACTTAATAAATTTACTTAAATATATTGATTTTTTGAAAGTAAACAATTTTCTATTTTGATTCTTTTGAGATAATCTACCCGTATCATTTCATTGTATTTGACATCTTTACATCACCAAATTTAATATTTCAAAAATTTCGAATTATTTTAAACTACTTGATAGACTGTCTAAGGCTTTGATTTAGAAGTTTGCTAAATGATTTATCGAAACTAGATAAACTTTTAAAATATCTTTATTAAAAAATCTAGAGAATGATGTTCTCAATTATTGTTCTATGTTTGTTCAGCTCCATGAACTAAATAATTAATATTTTCTTTTTGAAATATTAGAATGAGCTAATATTGTCATTATTTATTTCTACATCATGTGATATATAAATACGAATAAATAACGTATGTTACTAAAATAAAAAATATTTATTGAAGAAATCGTTTGATTTGCAAACCAACATTAAGTATCTTTTATACAACTTAGTAAGCACTAGCAAGTCGGCAAAGTTTAAAACTATCTCTTTAAAATATATCTGCTTGTCTATCTATCTCTTTCTCTTTTTCTGTGTAATCATTACATGTATATATGTCACAAAGTGTTAATTACAGTAAATATATATATTTACTGAGTTAACACTTTGACAATTATAACATATGTAAAAAATTAATTACTGCCTTATTCCAGTGTATCCAAATACATCTTCAGAAAACATAGAATCAGCATCAATTATAACTGAATGCTCATTACTAAAGCCACCATCTAATAAAGAAATAAGATCTTCTGGAACATAACTATCTGCTGCATCTTCTGCATCATCACCCTCTTCGTCTTCTCGTGATAAAAGATTGTTTACTGCTAAATTTACATCTAGATTTGTACGCTGCAATATTAATAGAATTATTTTATTAAATTACGTAATTCTTTGTTATTTTACATTCTTTTTATTTACAACATTGATATTAAACCTGTAATTCTCTGATAATAAGATTGCGACTTTTTCCTTGCAATACAACTTGTGCCTGAGATATTAGATCTTCCGGTACAAATGGTGCTGGTACAGAGGCGATAGGACGAGAATTGCTACCACTTCCTCCACCCATAATAACTCCAGGTGGTCCTATACGACCACCACTTCCGCTCCCTCCACTGTTGTTACCTCCACGTATTGCGGAACTGTTACGCATGATTCGCGCACGTGAACGTGACATCCCTGTTCTATTACCACTACTGCTATTTCCATTTCCATTTGGTGCAGAATTAGAGTTTCCAATATGATTTTTATTTGTACTACAATAAAACAGACATTTTCTGATTATTACATAAACTGTCCTCTTATAAGGTAACCCTAACATGGTCAATAATATTGTCAGTATTAATATTATCAATATTACTTGTGTATAACTTGTGTGTGATTGATGGATTCACGTAGAATATTGACAATGATCTGGATTTTGATTCTCAAACATAAATACTTTTTATTAAGAGCCGCATCATGTCACAGTAAAAAATATAATATATATAAAAATAAAATATATTGTTAATAATAGTGTAAAGTCATAAAAATATTAAAAATATTGATGCATACTGTCAGTATGGGCGAGTTTTTTAAATTTACCGATTGATTACTCGCTTATTGATTGTATTAAATGTAGCTTTTATAGAAAATCATATTTGCGCGTAATATGATTGATCAATCAATGAATTAGAAAACTCTTATTACTGATTTAATATTATCAATCAATATTATTGACCATGTAGAGTCGTATACATTTGTTCCATTTTCACTCACTTTCTATTAGGTTCATTTTTACTCAAATCCAATCTATCTGGTAGCACTGTAAATGCAACTCTAGCTATTCTATTGTCATCCGTGAGAAAAGCAATATGACTTGGTCCAACTACAATACGTTTTATTGATGCTTTTAAAGAATTAAAAGCTAATGGTGTTATGAATCCATATCTATTTATTTTATCCGCTATTTCCCTCAATCTAAAACAAAAGCATAAAATACAATATTACTATATAGATGCATAAAATAGATTAAATATATAAAATAGACAATTATCTTTTTGAAATTAAAGAATATAAAACTGTTTTTTTCCATTGCTATTGCAAGATAATTTTTTCATTATAGTAATAACGTATTTAAATATATTACAAGTTTGATAACAAATTTTAACAATGCATTATTTATTCATTATCTCTTAACAAATATATTTTGCATTTTTCAATTACAAGACTTGAAGCGTACATGTAAAAACAAGATTAATTATCAGATACCACATTTTTATAAATTGCCATTAAAATATGGCGAGAATAATGTCAACGAAGACGTACATTCCTTACGCTGATACACGCGAAATAAGAAGAGAAATGGGAATAACACATACATAACATGTCACGACATGTCGTGACATGTTGCAACAGTAACCACTTTGAAATAAGAAAAAAATAGTATTTTTTCTCGGGTATGATATATAAATTAGAATGCAGTAATGTATGAGAAACCGATAGCAGATGAAAATTCTCACCTATCATTGAGTTGGTCATCAGTTCCTGGCAAAGGATGCACGACAAGATGAATCGAAGTCATAATGACTTCAAATTCACATGTGTTCGACGTCAGATCGTTCTTTCACTGTACACAAAATTTTACTGAACGACGAAACAATAATTCAGCCATGTTTTTAGTGAGACATCCAGTTACATACCTCAGGCAAACATGGCGTGGTGTTCTCCGCGTTCATAAACGCATCGCTCACATATCTCCTTCTTCCTTTTTTTGGTCTAGGGCCGATTTCATCAACGCCAATTATTTAATCGGCGTTTAACCGACTAATCGCATTTTGTAGAATTGTTTAATAGAATTGATTGGTCAATTCTAGTAAACAGATAATTCTGACAATTCTAGGAGCTTTCCAGCAAGAGACACAAATTGGACGAGTTCAAGACGGCAAAGCGGCTAGGCATGCTTACCGAGTGATTGAATATAATTGGTTGGATCTATAAGTAACAACTAATTATGCTCATTTGCTCGGCAAGCAGGCTAGCCGCTTTGTCAACTTCAACGACCTCATTGACACAAGAATCATCTTATCCTTGTTCGATAATCAGTGCTTTCCATTTGATGACACAAATCGACACAAGTTTCATGATGCAAGTACAAACCCTGTTCTACAACAGATGATGGTTTATTACAAGAACAATGGCCTAGTTTCCACCGAAGGTTTAAACCGGATCAGAATATAAAAACCAACCAACTACAGTCGAGTATTCCCCTGTTACAGTCAAACGACAGGAGAATGCTCGACTGTAGTTGGTTGGTTTTTATATTCTGATCCGGTTTAAATCCTCGGTGGAAACTAGGCCACTGTAAAGGCTTAAATACAATAGGCATAGGCAACAGGGAATAACGAACTGTCCAATCAAAGTTCTGATGTGTAAGTTCGATATTATATTCCAGAGCTCTAATTGGACAGCTTGTTATTCTCTGTTCCCTGTGCCTATTGTGTTTAAGCTTTTAAACAATACTTTCTCGGAACAATATTTTCTCTACAGTTATTATCTCTATTGATAATCAAACTCGGATGATAACATTAAAATCACAATTTTAAATAAAAATTAAGTATTATTTAGTTTTAAACATATGTACATGTCTACGAAACTAATAAATCATGAAATTAGTACCGTATTACTATATAGTTTTTCACTCTTAGGTCGATTGTTCCACCTTTTGATAAATTTTACCTGTTAGGTAAATCTGGCATGTGATTAGATAATCTTGCTACTTACCCAACAGGTAAAATTTATCATAAAGTAAAACAACCGAGTCTTAATCACTTAGGTTTGTATTTAGAACGCGCTCTTATCTCTGAAATTCTATGTATAACATAAATTATAGCATGTTAGTGCGCTAACATCGTTGTAAGCGCGTTCTAAATACGGGCCTTAAATTTTAACAAGCACACGAATTTCCATGAGCGCCGATCGTCTTTAATAGTATCATTAGTATCTCATCGGTGTTCTTGGTTAATGGTGTCGCTACGGTTTGACAACCAGTATGAAGTTTGCATTTATTGGTGGTTCATACTTACATAGTCAAAGAGTTTCCCTCTGTTTATACTGTGTCTATGGTTATCTATTATGGTATATTATGGTAGTGGCTGTGCACGTTTTGTTTCTCTGTGTTATATTGGAGCAAATAATTCGCGTTGTGTCAATTTCTTATTGCAGAAAAATATGAAGCTTCTTACGCACAATATGTTAACATCTAGAGCTATGAAAGGGGTAACAGTCGGCTATCCTCTGAAAATAGTCGTAAGCTATTTTCTCCTGTCCATTAAAATACAAATTACAATTCATGTCTAAAATAGAAAAACTTCGAATAATTGAAATATCCAATCATACATTATGAAGATTATTTGATATACTAAATAATATTTTAATATGATCAAAATAACATTATATTTTATTAACATTATTTAACTCTCATTGTTAAATTGCTTATTGCATAAGAAAACTCGAATAAAATAATAATTAAACAATACTATGCAAAAATATAAATATATCAAAACTTAATTGAACGTTCAATTTTACTTAATAAACTTGAATCTTGTAATAATTAATAAATTTTGTAATAACGAAAATGTTCATTTTAAAAATATTACATATTTTGAGTTGATAAAAACCAAGAAAAAAGATTTAAAATATTCTAAAGCTATGTTAATTTTTTTACTATGTTAAGTATTGTGCGTGTGTGTGTGTGTGTGTGTGTGTGTGTGTATGCAGCAATGTACTTTAGGTGATAATAGACAGATACTTGAACATAATTAATAATAATATTTTTTGAAATATAATCGTTTAAAGTTTTTTTAGCTATTCTTTAAAAAATGTTGAGATTCAATACTATATTTTTTTACAGAGATTCAATATTTTTTCTTAAAATTTACTTATATTATTACTTTCAAGATTATGCTTGTCTGAAAAATCCAAGAATATACAATTTTGTTCTGAAGATTCTTCATTTCATTATCATATATTTATTAAAAATATTTGTAAAATTTTGCAGGCTCGAGACATCAGAGTATCCGAAGTAGATTTTAATCCAGAGTATATCGCTAGGATAATTCCAAAATTGGATTGGACAGTGCTATGGAAAGCTGCTGAGAGCGTAAGGTCACCTTCTCATATAAACATGATTAAAAAAATAAATCATTGTTTGTAATGAAGTTACAGTTAAAAAGTCTTTTTTTCAATAACTGTAACTTAATTTTAATTTTACATTTTTTTAATAACTAGCAACTAATTTAATAGTTATCTTGGATATTAAAAGATTTATTCATATCGTATGCTCCAACATGTTCCCAACATGTCCCCAACATGTTCCTACAAATAATACAACATAAATATAAACATATAACAAAATATTTTTAAGCGTTTTATATGAAATTTTGTCAGTACGATTCAAGATACAAAAATAAGTAAATAGTAATTCTATGAAATCTTACTTGTCTTATATCATAATACAAAATATATTAGTTATAAGATTTATTATTAGGTGTTGGAATTAATTCGTAGCGTTTTTTAATGAAAGAATGTTATTTATTTCACATGAGCATTAAAAAATACATTAATGAAAGTACTTCCCATCACTTGTAAAACGCTACGAATTAATTCCAACACCTAATAGTTATAAGATTAATAAATAAGATAATGAGGACGTTTATGTACATTGCAAGGTATATCAACGTACCTTTTATCAAGAATATACAATAATCTATTTTAATTAAAATTGCCAATGTAATTTCATCTTCAGAATTTCAAACTTCAGAAATTAATTTAAGATACAAAAGTAACAAAAGGTTCATATAAACATTTATTCTATTTGATCTTATTTCTGAATAAAGTCTGCAACGATTTTTTTTCTACAAGATTGCTAGCTGAATTTGTTGTGTTGACAGCGATGCTGGCAGGGCTAACCGAGCAGCAGTAATTTGTTTGACAAAAGACTTGACAGAAGTATCCGAATAAGTAAATATGATTATTGCTACTGTGGCACATTATTATAAATATATAATTGCATTGTTTTTAATTATTGGCTTTCACAATAAGCCAGCATAAAATTATATAAGAAAAATAGTACCTGACCTGTCACAAAAATTTAGCAAATTCAGCCAGCGGCTACATAATTTCCAGCATAACAATCAACAAAATTGCCAGCACAGTAATATGCAAGCAATCCACAAGCTTAATTCGGAAAGAAGGTCAGATAGAATAAATGTTTGTACAAATTTTTGGTGTCCTGCATTCATTCCTGAAATTATGGAACACTATCCTTAATATACAATATTATTATTACAATATAACCTGAAATATCTGAAATACTGTAAAAAATATTTTATAGTATATTAACAAGTATTTTATTACAGATAGGACATGTTGGTGAATTACCTCAGATTCTAATAGAGGACTTCGAGACAAATGAAGATTTTCTGAAAAAGGCTCATCATATTCTGTTAGAAGTCGAAGTTATAAACGGAGATTTATTGTGTCCCGAATCTGGCAGAAAATTTCCTATCAACGATGGCATTCCAAACATGCTTTTAAACGAAGATGAAATTTAAATAACAGAACCAAATATTTTAAGAATATTATTATTGCCATTGTATCTCTAGTTATAGTTATCATTGTTCCTTTAATTACTTAATATTATACACACACATTTACATACACACACACGCTTCTGTATCATAGATCTTGTCATTAGTTTTATTTTTTTATATTGATACAGTTAATATTTTAATAAAGATGTAAAAAAGCAATTTATATTTAATGTATTCTAAATAGCACATTGTGCTTGCACGCGTATAGGTATATGTCAAAATTTTGATATGCTTCCATCTTAAATAATTAAAAAATGTGTTAATTATAAATGAAGCATATAAAGTATATTTTTTTATAATAAAATTATAGTTTATATTTCATTGTCATAAATATAGATTAATAAAATTTATTTCTTATTCTATGTACGTGTATATTATTAAATAAAGTTTAACAAATATTATTTATAAAACAAATACAAAATAAACTTTATACAGGAAAAAATTATCTAAAATAATGCTACAATTACAAAGAAAAAAGTAAGAGTTTATTTATAAAGTAAACAAAAGATTATGTTCATAATAAATACATAATAATTATGTATTTGTGTTGGGGCACTTCATGCATTCTGAAGTTCCAAATAGAAAAGAAAACGTACGGAATTGATTTCTTTTACAATTTGTTACATCAGAGAAAAAAATGTCTTATTATATTAAAATTTAATCAGCCTAATATACATAATTTATAAATTGATAATTTTTATTATATAGAGTTCCTAGAAGATGACCAAACTTTGGTATCGTTTTCTATCGTCTCTAAGGATAAAAAAAAGTTATAAACATAGGTCTGGAAACTCTTCCTTTTTAATATAATTATGAAATATAAATATTTTTTGTTCATCTCAAAAGTTGAATAGATATTACACGAAATAAATATTATGGTACAGCAAGTGATACCGTCTTCGAAGGCAACTTATTGTAGTAAATTAATTTTTATCTAAACATTGCATAGTTAAAATAATATTACCAAGATAATTTATTTCATTATCGAGTGAGCAGATATTCAAGTTTTAAATCTTTAAAATATTCTCTCAAATAAAATGTTTATATCTCAAAAAGGAAGAATTTCCGGACTTACATTTATATGACCTTTTTTCATTCTTAGAGACAGAAGAATACGATACTAAAGTTTGGCTACCTATTTTTGGAATACCCTGTATAAGTAAATTATTTAAATTAGATTGTCGTATGTATAATTCGATTACATATACTTTATTACACAAATGTCTATTATATATAAAGACAATAAGATATAATTTCTTGTACCACTTGCAATACTTAATATTGAACATTTTTTTTATTTACATCACATTTATATTGCTACTTAGATAGTTTGCTCGAATATTATCTACACGAGTATTACCTATTCGCTTCTTATCAGAGAATGTTAAATGTAACATTTTGATACAATTGTTTTACTAGAGCTATGAAGCATAGCAAACTCTTGTAGCAATATTGTAATGAAATACATTAAATTATAAGTGAAATAGAATATATCCTATATATTATTCTTGAATATAAGATAACATGATTGATATATGAAAAATATTCTTATATATCTTTTGACAAAGGATTTATACATATATATAGCATATGTGTAAATTATCTTAGCTTTAAATGTAAACTATCAGATAAAGTTATTTGTATATCTACTGTAAAGAATATAATTATTGACAGATGACTTTTGCAAATTAACTTTCTAAGATTGATATATATAGTAATATAAAATGAATAACACACAAAATTCTTTGTGACATTTTGAATTTGTAATTTGTTATATGAAATAGGTGTTACAATTGTTTATAATCTGTTATTCAAAATGTCATAAAATTAATTTGAATATTATACAATTAAAAATGCTATTTTTTTTCTTCAGAATAAAACAATGTATATTTCAGTACATAAACTTGACACCGTTTAAATAATAATGTAATTAAATAATACATTTTCCATGAAATATGTGTAAATAAATATAATTTAACAAGACTTTTAATTGAAATAGTCTTAATTTAATGATTATTATTATCGAAGGCGTACAATGTTATTTATTGTAGTTTTCTGTACACATTAGTTTTCTATACCAATGGCAATGCTAAAATATAGCAAAATATATTTATTTTTTATAATTTTTAAAGTCAAAAAGCTATAAAAATAGCTTTCAATTAATATTTCAGCCACAGCCCATCCGTTATTAACATTTTAATTGTATCTTAAATATTTATAAAGCTGAATTACTCCGGAGTCAAATTATGAAAATATTTCTGTATATTAATATTCTCATGACGGCATATATAAATATTAATTTTGTATGATTTATTATTAAAAATCTTATTTTGCATTAATAGATGTAAATTTCTCTATATTTAGATATGCTAGTTTTCATCTTCACTCGTTTTATTTCATCCTGTTTTATAATAGATTATATATCTATATTTACACACACACACACACACACACACACACACACACACAAATATATATTTTCTTTTAACGATGCATGTGGATATATAGTAGGAAAATTCCATTAGCTGGACACGCACACACGCACGCATATATATATATATATATGTGTGTGTGTGTGTGTGTGTGTGTGTGTGTGTGTGTGGTGTGTATATGTATATGTCCAGTAGATTTTCCTACTATATGTCCACATGCATAATTAAAATATATTTTAAAACTATACATTTGTGATTTTAGATTTCATAGTCGATTAAAATTTTCATTTTAAATGACTACTATACTTAAAAAGGAAGTACATTTATTATTAAGGAATTTATCGATATTAAAATATAATACTTAATTATCATATATCAAAATATTTTAGGTTTTTATTTTTTTCACTCAAGATTTAAAATTTTATTACAGTAATTTTATAATAAGTTTACAATAAATCTTACATTTTTGTAGAGTAATTTATAAAAATAATATCGAATACGATAAATAATAGCTGATAAATAATTTTATATTTTAATACTATAAATCCCTCAGTATACATAATTACTTTAAAAATATGGATGAGATATTATATTTATTTAAACGAATATTAATACTGAACAATATTATGTTAACTATTATATTAAATTAATATATGTATAAGAATAGCAATAATCGCAATATAAAATTTTATTATTTTTGTTTCTGACAAAAAATGACAAAATTGATTAATTATGCATAATGATAATTCGAAATATTAAAAATCGCTAAATTATGAACTAATTACCACACATATAATGAATAAAATTGAAAAAAATCTTCAATAAATTCACATATGTAAAATAAAAGTTTGAGAGATTTGATTATGTACTATTTATTTAAGAATATACGAATGTATGTAAATATACTAATTTAAAATATTCGCTATTAAGTATATTATATAATTTTGTATGTAAATGTATATAAAACCAAATTATTAAAATTTCATATTGACAATACTTAAACATATTCTCAGTGACAATAATAAGATTGAAAATAAGACCGTTTATGTGAGTACATCATCTAAGTACGAGAAGCCATTGACGGTCAAAATTAGATATTGAACTAATACATATACATATTCTTTTTAAATGAATTTATCTCAAGAATGACTGTGCGCTGCTGTTACTATCGGACTTTCAACGCAACTGAAATACAATATTAATAATTTTCTCCAAATTTAATCATAAAAATCTGTAAAGAACTTTTTCTGAGATAATTCATTTGAAAAAAATACATATGCATTAGTTCAACATCTAACTTTAGACTAACTTCCCATCAAATGACGTTTTTCATATTTAGGTGATATTCTGAATGACTTTTAACATATTTTACGTATATAATAAATATTAAATTCAATAAAATATAAATATCAAAAAAAGATAGAAATATATATTTTTATCTAATATTTTACATTATGTATTAATAGAATTCCGAGATATATACATCAAGTAATTTTGGAAAAATCTAATATAATGTATTTGTCACTAAAAAATATTAAATACTACATTGTCAATCACCCTTATTTTAAAAAAATTTAACATCTTTTTACATACTGTATAGATGTTTCAAAACTACCGGATTTCTTTTTAAGAGCGGATTCTTTGGAATATTTTAACAAAAATTCTAATTAATACGGAAATATCGAGGCTATAATAAAAAATTTTTAAATTAATAGCGATTAAAGTTCACTAATCACATTTCGCATGCTTAGGCATGAGATACAAATGGTAAAAATGCTCCACAAGGGCTTTTCTCAGCAATTTCAAGCTTATCATACAAATCTTATATATTGTAATACATATTAATATATACTGTGAAAGGTTTACTTAAAATATATGTGCCTCACTTCCCAAATAACACAAAGTCTAAAATTGTGACACAAGATGTCTTTAAGACGTCTTTTAGACGCAAAAAACGTCTTATGATCCGATTTTAAACGCTTTCTGTTATTTGGACTAGATATTGGAAAGCTCTTCATGCTCAACCGGAAATCTATCATCCGGAAAATATATATGCCTCAACATTTTTGTGCAAGAAAAATTAATCCAAATAAAAATCGATTATTCAAAAATAATAACACTTGAAAAATAGAACATTTTATAAAGAGATCCGCAATATGTTAACAATATTAAAATAAAAATCGGACAGAAAATTAATGCTTATCAATTCTGCTAGCGTAAAAAATAAACTTTTACAAAAAAGATAATCAAGTAGATTATACATTAGGAGTGGGTTATTTTTCAAATAACTATGCGAACAATCTTTATTTTCTTTCTCTACTTTAGCTACCTTTTTCTTTTTTTTTCGATGATTTGCTTTTTGTTCGCGTAATGTCACAAATTATTATAATAAATATATACTACTTTTGTATAATATTGTACATGATTTTTTGAATATAGAAATGTATTCTGTATATTAAAGAATTTCGATAATATTAGGTGTTGGAATTAATTCGTAGCGTTTTTAATGAAAGAATGTTATTTATTTCACATGAGCATTAAAAAATACATTAATGAAAGTACTTCCCATCACTTGTAAAACGCTACGAATTAATTCCAACACCTAATATAATCAGAAAACTAGTATAATCAGAAAACTAGTAAATATATAATTAATTATTGTTTAAAATGCGAAAAATCAAACAATTCCACATCTTAATATAGTAAACAAAAAATGGCGGAAATGACTCGACGCACCATTTCGCTAATTCATTATCATCACCAGTTTATGAGCTATGATTAAAATAGTCCAGTTTTATTTATATTTACTGTATATTTGCATTTATTTGTATAAACTGTCTCATTTTTTTTTTAAATTCATGAGTCTTATTTACTTTCATCTGACATAAATCTACCGCACGGACCGATTGCATTTATATATAAATTGTGTATTTTAATGATGAGACAAGCTAAGTTTCAAAATTTTTAGCAAAATTAAAATGCATTGCACTTCACGTGTTTACATCTTATCAAAATAGATTATGATTGATAAAGCTTTCTGCCTACATCACTTTCTATATACGAACGGCATGCGATAAACATAAATTAAGCTTCCCAGAGAAATAAACTTTATTAGAGCTTAATAACAATAAATAATATAATCTAAAATAATAAACAATGTATTTGTCGTTTAGTCTTACTAAACAATAAATGCATATATATGAATAACAAAACATAAATCTTTTTTAAATTATACATTATACATTATATTTTTGATAATGTATTATATTAGGTATTGGAATTAATTCGTAGCGTTTTTAATGAAAGAATGTTATTTATTTCACATGAGCATTAAAAAATACATTAATGAAAGTACTTCCCATCACTTGTAAAACGCTACGAATTAATTCCAACACCTAATATATGAATTAATAAATAATATTAAAAATTAAATTATAGCATCCCAAAGATGGATAGCTAAACAATTGTCTAAAAATTATAAGTTAATATCTAATTATTTAATAAATGCAAAAATATCAAGAAAAAAACAATTGCACATATTTCATTTACCACGACTCTCTATATTGGCTACATTTCTTTGCGAATAAATGGAGCCTTGGGCCAATCCCCTTAACGGTCCTTTTCGTAATTCGGATTGAGAACCTTTAGCAAGACAATGATTAGTAGAGACCAAACTTGCATCATGGCCTATTGCGAGTGATCTTGAAAATGATTGCTTAGTCAGCAAATTTGGGTCCGGTCCTGACCAAGGCGCATAATCCGGTCTATAATTGTTTACTTAATGTTTATAAAAATATTACAGCAAAAAAGTAATCAAATAATTATATTTTTTCAACGTACAATAGTAGATCGTTATTTGCTCCTTTTGCTAAATCCGAGTTTGATCCTACTGGTTTTGTTAAATATGGAGATTTATATTCTTTATCTTCTGTAGTACTGGTTCCACGTGAAACTCTAATACAACATATTTTATCATATAAAGAATGTTATCAATGAAATATTATTAACACGTTGACTGGAGGTGTTGTGTCGGCCACCAATGACAAGCATTTAAACTTTCAACAGTGTCGCGTTGCGTCATCAGTGACTGGCACTAACCAAAGCTGACCGTCGCTGCTAAACTCAAAAAATATATCAAACTCGTAAAAAATAACATTTGTTTTATAAATATAAATAATATTGAAGTAATAGTCTAAAATAATAAATGTACTATGTACATGAAAATTTTACATAATTATATAATGTCATATCGATGTGTGAATCTAATAATGAAAATTTCATTTTAACGTCGCTGGAGGACAAACAAATTAGATCCAGTAGTCAAAGTGTTAATAAAATATTATTTTGACATCTAGAAGCATAAACAAATTCACAGTAGATATGCGTTACCAAGACATATATATCTTACAGGATTATACAAGTTACTCTTTAAATGTAACGCATTATCGTTATTTCCTTTCAAAAGTAACGATGTTACGATTATTTTTTTGAGAAAGTATTGTGCAACGTTATTGTGCTATCATTACTAAAAAATAATAATTCGTTACCCAGCTAATGTTAAATACTCTTGAAATATTCATAAAATCTCCCAAAAATATTTTAAGGGTATTACGAAATATCCCAAAATATTTACGGAATATTTAAGTCACATTCAAATATCGGTTTAAAAAATTCCATTTATATCTTGTTACATATTTCGAAAATGTTACATATATATTCCACAAAAATTTTAATTTTTCCAAAAGTATCAATATGTTGATATAATCGAGACGAAAGCATCAATATAAAATATTGGATACCGGACTGAAAAATATCGAATTATTATGTAATCCTATCGGCAATTTTTTGGGTTTAAGCACAAAGATGACTGAGTCATGGAACATAAGTCATAGTTGTAGGGTTGATCAAAACTTGTATATATTGACTTGTATATATTGACTTATGATTAATGATTATGATTTACGTTTCACGACTTAGTTACGACCATTTAAGCTAAAGCCCTTTGATGCCCTTTTTTGATGCCTTTTCGTTATTCACACTAACATCACTAACAAGAGTAAGTTCATGTTAATTCACATATTCACTAACACAATCAAATTGTCCAATCATGATGCTGATCTTGAAGTTAGTTACTGTTACTGTTATTGTTACTGTTACTCATTCGGAAAAGTGATTATGTTACTTACTAAAGAAAGAAGTTTCATTATTTTTTTAAATAACTTGTATAATACCCTGATATCTTATATATCTTAAAAGATATGATCTTAAATAAATATCTTACTTCGGTATTTCAGTCTTATTTTTGGATCGTTTCAACTTCTCAGTTTCCACATCTGTACTCATCTTTTTAATCGGAGAAGCAGTTAATTTTATAGCTTCTGTCACTGGTGGACTATCTTTCCGTTCGTCACTTCTACTACTACAATACGTAGCACAACCCATAAGAAGACATTAATATATTCACGATTTTTATGTATTACTGAAAAATGAAACGTTACCTTTGGCTGCTGGAAGTACATAATGGTCGAGTAGCTTCTTCTGCCATTACTATATCTAATATATGTATTGCTCTTTCTTCGTCATAATCTACACTATCCATAGCAAGCATCACAATTCGATCTGGTAAATTCTTATATTTTTGCATTAAACGTGTTTTCACTGCAATATTTTCTTTCTATAGTGGACTTATAATTAGATAAAAAATTAAAATCAAAATTTTAACAAAAATTTTTACATACACTTATTCTTTTCTTCCAAACTTTTTATGCGTGGAGGAGGAGTAGGTGCAGTTTGCTCGTCATGCACCTATAAAGATAATTATTTTTATATGTGACAATGTACGCATTATATGGTGCACAATAAAAAAAATTCATTACCTCTTCCTCTTCTCTCTTTTTTAAAGCTCTGGCAGGAAGGGTAGGATTCCGTTTTTCATATCCTAATTCAATTAATTTTTCAGATGCCTTCTGTACATTATTATCACTCTGTTCCAGCACATCCAATAATATTGTTTCGTCCACTTTTGGAAATACATTTTTCAGGTACCTGTACATACATTCCAAACATATAAATCTTTAATATGATTGCTATATTACTGCTACGTGCACAACATACAAACATAATGCATTGCTATCATATGGATTTAGTATACATTTTAACATTATATGATTATAATATATAAATTATAACTCATTACTAAAACAATAATCTAATGTAATCTTACTTTTAACTCATGTACGTAGCATTAATGTATGCCGTTCGGCGTGCACACATTCAATGAACAAATTTCTCTACAATATTTAAGAAATATATCTAGTTGCTTATATTATTAGTAATAGATCAGGGCTTCCCAAATTTATATCACAACTCACTTTTTAAAATAGCAAACAATATCTTGTTTCAGTCAAGATGAAAAAACAGAATTAATAAATTAATTATTTATATCATTTTATTTATATTCCTGTTATTTTTTTCATTTTTTAATAAATACAATTTTATAAATCTATTTCAGATATATGTATAATAAAATATATATGCCACCTTTTTCTATTTCTGTCCAGGGACATATTCGGATTCCCACTTGGATACTCCCCTGTTATGCCATGTTATTCATGTTTTTTATTCGAACATAAATGAGGGTGATATGACACCCGAGGAGCATGCAGATGGGAATCAAAATACACCTCAAGGGGAATGAAAGTTATTTTTTAAAAATAACTAGTTACTTCCATTTTCGTTTCTGTCGATGATATGTTTGATGTCAATATCGATATGAATTATTTTTAGATGTAAGAGGTTTGATAATATTAGGTGTAGTAAAAAGAAATCCATTATTTTTCCAATAGATGGCTTTAGTAATCTGTATCACGCGTAGATGAGATACAAATTACTAAAGCCATCTATTGGAAAAACAATGGATTTCTTTTTACTACACCTAATATATTTGGAAATTTGATTTTAGTTTCTATCATCGTTAAAAAACGAATTTTACGTTTTTCATTTTACAATTTTTATTTTATTTTATGTACGAAATCGTGAAAAAATACGCGCCCAAGCGTCAATTAACGCGAAATAAAGTTAATTTAACATTCTATCATTTTTCATAACACGCTAAAAATTGACTCGCGATCTTTGGTAATCCCTGATTTGTATTAATTATTTCAGTTTCTAAAATAAAAAGAAGTATATATAATTATTAATTATTTAAGGGTTGCACCAAAGTTACTTTGACTTTAAGCAAAGCTTAAAACTCTCTCTGTCTCTCTTTCGCTTTAAAACGAGACAAAGAGAGTTTTAAGTCTTGCTTAAAGTCAAACTAACATTGGTACGACCGGGTCTAAGAACTATAAATAAATCGCATTTAAATGTCCTTTTGTGAATCGGACGACATTAATGCTGTCAATTGTACATTATAACTTAGTAAATTAATATATAAAAAAATTAATAATTAACATTATTTAGAATATGCACATGTGATTGATATCTAAAAATATTCATAAAATTTTCTTTGCTTTTTATAACAAACAATGTACAATACAAACTACTCTACATATCTATATTATATTTATCTAAATATTTTTAGAATAGAATGCACATGCACATACTATCATGCTTAAATTTTATCTCGTTTTGGGATAAACGAGTTTTTTTCTCATTATATATACACATATGTGTATATGCGTGCGCGCGCGTGTGTGTATTTATACACAGGGTGGACTATTTTAATTTATCTAGTCGATTTTCTCAAAATCTGTGTTTAAAACAAAAATGTTTCAGATAAAAGATGTATAACTTTAAGGCCTATTTTCACAATATATGATTACCAACAGATTCATCAATGAAATTCTCATTCATGAATTTCTCGGTTATCTTTAATCTTTAGGTAATCATATATTGTGAAATCGGACCTAAGAGAGAAAGAAGAAGACCTTGATTAATCCTAAGAAGATATCCTTAAGGTCAGATCAAGATTACTTAAAATTTTTTTTAATGAAACATGCCATTTTTTATTCTTACAGCTGATTTTAAAACCTTTTCAAAACATTATAATGTTATTTTTTATTAAATATTTTCCATGTTATGAGACTTCTAAATTACAGTATCGCCGCATTTGCATTATCCAAGGTATCCGATTGACGGCTAAAATCTTTTTAAAATGAATATTGTTCGAAATCATGACATCACATGACCTTGACATCACATGTCAAGATCAAGGCCATTGAAGATTGTTCCTATTATTTTTATGTTTGCACTAAAAATTCCTTTTTATATTAAAAATAAAAATAAAACAAACAACTTCCAATAGCCTTGACCTTGACATATGATGTCAAGGTAATGATTCTAAATAATATTCAAAAGATTTTAATCATTATTTGGACACCTTTGATAATGGTACTGTAACTTTAAAGCTTCATAACTTGAAAAATATTTGATAAAAATAACATTATTATAGCGTTTTGAAAAGATCTCGAAAATAAATAGTTGCTTATTTAAAAAATTATTTATTTTAATATATTTTTTTAAAGCAACTATGTATTTTCTTTATATCGATTGATTCATTTCGTTATTCTGTTCTTTGTAGTAAGGTATGATTAGCAAAAAATTTGTACACGAAATATTTAATATTTCATGTCAATATATGCCAGAAAGAATAAAATATCTCGTAAACTATTTTTGATATCTCTATCTTAATACTTTTATATACAGAATTATTAGAGAAATCATATTATATAAAAAAAATCATATAATTCCATTTCAAAAAATAAAAATCATTTCGAAATTTTGCAAGCACGTCCACCTAAAGAGAATCTTTAACCCTTAAAAGATATCCCTCGAAATAAAGTAACTTCTTTCACTTGAAACATTTTCTGTGTGAATCAGTGTTTACATGTCGTATTTAAGGAAAATATTGGTAATTAATAATGTATTTATCTACAACAATATACACAAAAGAATGTTGTGTGTGTGTGTGTATATATATATATATATATACATCACACAGTCAAAGTGTAACTCACTAAATGTATACATTTATTAAAGTTAACACTTTGACTGTGACATATATATTTTATACAAAAATGTAAAAACTCTTTTATTCCCTTTTAATGATACAAATAACATAACAATGACATCTAATTAACAATACAAAGCTTTAATTTGTGCTACTAAATGACAAAAATAAAACATGAACAATATGGAACAAAAACCAACCTATTCTAGATAGCGTAAATTTTATATTATCCAACATTTATGTTATTACAAACCAGGAAGAAACTGAAAGATAAAAGAAAATAACAGATGTCATAAAATTAGATATTACTGATCAGTGACAGAATATTTTTTAATTTCTTAAAAGCAATAAAAATATAATAAAATAAATAAGATTAATAATAAAAATCTATTAAACTACATTATGTATTTGCTACCGTGCACGATAAATTATTTTGAAGAATCGGCGAATCAATAATTGCACATCTCTAGTACTTAATATCTAAATACAGTTGAAGGAATCCTATGACTCCATACATGCTATCGTTACATAATATCGTGTATATGCGTGAAATATACCAGACAATTATAACAATGCAAAAGAAAAGGCAGTGCTCTTTGACTGGTATACTTCCATGGAATTATCACAAGATACGATATCAACATCTAGCATCCAGACTGGGTGAAAAAGACTGAAACTATGAATATTTGGGTTAAACCTAAGTTTCATTTTTGGGGAGTTAGGGGCTGGTCGAACTCCGCGAGGCGGACTCAATGTTAATGCTGCATGTATAGAATGAGCCGGTAGACGCCATCTTGGAATTGCATAATTTGAATGTACTCCCACAGGTGTACAGGGTCCTGGGGCACAAAGAGGATTCTTTTCCACTTGGAGAGCGCTCATGACCAAAGCTGCCCTGTTATGGTATCTGAAAGATATTGGCTGTCGACTTAGCACCAGATCTGATACAGTGCTAATTTATGAAAATAGACAGGGGAGCTCAGATAATTTTAATCAAAGAAACTTAAAAAATCAACTTTTTTTTGTATGCGTGATAGTCTTAATGTCCATGTTAATATTTAATATTAATATTAATGTTTGTATAAAAATGTTAAAAAGTGTAAGTACTAAACTTCAGATGAAAAATTTTGGTAATAGATGATTTACTTGCTAAAAAAGACTTACTTTTTTAACAAAAGACGAATATGTGTATCCGAAACTGTCGGAAATACAGCGTTGATCTTCGCCACTTGTGACTCAGAGTCGGAATTTTGAGTAAAACTTGTCTCGGTATTTCTCACTGGAGTCGGAGATCCTAAAGTCAAGTCACCTAATCGAGTTGTCATCATACTGGTGGATTTCAACGACATTGGCGTTTTCAGCTCCTGCACATACACGCGTGTCTATCTATATAACAATTACAAAACTGCTGTGTATGCAAGTGTATATGTATGTATGTACATATGTGTACTGGCATATCGTGGTAACTAACTTGATGAAAAGCAGGCATAATTCATGAGGATGACTTTCAATATAAATGTTTACTTACCTGTGCACTGGGAGGTAAGAATGCTAGTTGTGGATTATGATAAGGGGACGGTGTTGGATAAATTTGTGGAACTCTGTGAGCACCTGTATAATTTAAGTGCCCACCACTTCCGCTTCCTCCAGTCTATTTATTTGTAGTATCGTGTGCGTTATCCAAATGCAGCGTGTGCATATCACAAGAATATATACATATACAATTTATCATACACATACACGCACACGCATGCGAACGCGCACACGCAGCATATGATATGTTTCAAATGGAAATTAGAATATCTCTTCTTGTACACATAAATAACATAAACACATGAATATAATCTCTAAGTACGATGACGTTTTGGACAAAATATTTTAGTTCTTAAATAATGTCATATTTTTAGATTGTTAATATCGATATGTTTAATTCATTCCAATTTAATAAAATAAGAAAAAATATTTAGAAACTTTCTTATTTTATCAAAATTATCTTCATTATTCGAGCGATATAATGAAAGAAACATTTATTTTAATAAATAAAAATATTTCTTTGTAACATAATTTATGTTTCATGATTACATTAAACCATTAAAAATAAGTATGTTACATATAATTATGATAGATGTACATGTTTTGTAAGTAATTTATTTTAAAGTTAAAAGTTTCTTGATGTCGAATATAATACAAGAGAGTAAAAATTATTTCATTCAACGCTTACAAACAGTATTTCACTTTACATAAAATGTCATTAAAATTAAATTGTAAAAGCGTTAAATTAAACATCTAATTAATACGTAATTACATGTGATTCATATATATAATATTTAATAACTTTTAATGAAGTATTAAAAATTAAATATTATTTCAATATAAAAAATATATACATTCCGTCTGTATTTACATTCAATCTGTTCTTTCGGAAAAATTATTTACATAATTATTTACATATGAGTTCTTCTTTTATATAAATAGAATGTATCTTTAATAAATATACTAATTACAAAACATTGTCACGTGTAGACTAAGTTCGTCTTAATTGCTGTCAATATTGACCCTCATAAACATCATGCTGTCATCAATTTAATACTATATTATTCACATACATAAAATTTGAATACGCTAATGTCAACTGTAATGTGCTCTCAGTTGCCTCTAATTGTGTTTTTTATTTTATCTTTCTTTTTTGTCTTCCATTCACTAGTATCTGAATTAATAATATTGCCTTAGCTCAAAGTGCACACAAAATGCACCACATTTCTGTTATATTATTTCTTTTAAGAAATTAAATTACCTTGACATCATCACCCTAAAAATCATAAATAACTTTGTGAATTTTTTTTTTATAAAACAATAGAATAAAAAATTTGTTTTAAGATTCTTATAATACAATTCTTTAAGAATAAAATCGTATTAATTTTTTCTTTGACAAAACGTGGCAACACGGAGCCGTTTTGCTGACTGATTCCAAAAGTTATCTAATTTTTAGATTATCAAAGTGGTCTAACCTCTTAAGAAAGTGAATATAAACGAAAAATAAATAATTACGTATTTAATAGAAAATTATGATATCATTGATTTACGGAAGTGCTTCAAAATTTACTAAGTTAAGCAATGATATAAACATTTGCGTTTTTAGTGTAAAAGCGAGCAAGACGAACTTAGCCACAATGTGCTAGGAAACACTCAAACACTTTTAAAGAAAATATTTAATGCTTAAAAAAATGTTCACATTGTAATTTATTTTAATATACCATGTGTCATAATATATAAGTGTCAGAGTTGCATATACGTATATTAGAAGAAAATTAAAAGAAATCTGACAATGTATACAATATTCAAACAATCAACCATCATACATAAATACCATAAAAACATTCAATGATGTAATGATATGTATAAATATTCAAATGATGTTAAATGATTAATTATCAACATAAACATTCTTTTAGCATAATAAGATATCAACCTTGACATTCTTTTAGCAGGGTAAAATATAAATCTTGTCATGAACCTTAACCTTTAATATTATACTTTTTTCTTTATTAATAATCAAGACGGCGGAATTTTTATCAATAATGTATCCAAAGAAAATAAAAGCAAATTCAAATAAAATAAAATTACAAATTATAAGGTACAATAATAAAAGGAAATCATTGAAATGATAGAAAGAAGCAAACCCATCATTATTATTTTAACTGCCGCAAAAATTTTTTTGTAATCGGTCCCTTAATTAGCGTGCCATACTGTTATTTTTTTCTATGATGTAATTTTAAGTACACTTTTCAAAATAAATTTTTCAAAATGTTTTTAAATAAAAATTTTCGACATAGTTTTCGAGCATCTCGCACGATAATACTAGAGATCCGAGTTTGACTCTCGGCCGAATATTTTTCGCAATAAATTTATTTATAGATTTTCAGCACATTAACATCTTTCTAATAGGATGCCTGATTGAGCATCAAATTATTAAATTGCTCATTAGTTAATTTGCCATATTACATAGTAGTTTAGTTGTGCTTATAAGGCCGAAAAATCAATTCGGCGCACAGTTCAAATGACTACATATGTGATAAATTATAAATTCACATGGAAATTATTTAAGCGTTTAAGATCCAGCTTCGACCGTTATAGGCTTAAATTCTTAGTTGTTGTGTATTCACATATACGGGCTTAATCAATCGTTTATTATTATTATTTATGTTTTCCTTTGTTGTGTGTTATTTTTAGTATATATAAAAAGTATATATAAAAACTACATTATGTTATTCAGTAATAAGTCAGTTAAAATGGTATTGGGTATTGGATATATTATGAGAAATTTTTCTGCAATTTTCATTATCATTTTAAAATTGAAATTGATGAAATAGTCCTATCCCATCCTAATAGAGAATTGGAAAAAATTAAATATATAATAAATTCTGTAAATTTTTTCTTAAGAAGTACAAAAATGGTTTAATAATAATAAAAGCGTATGAAATAGATGATTGGAGATCTTATATGATCATTTTAAATATATAAATATAAATACATATTTAGATATTTTGAAGAAAAATTTTTTTGAAATAATTTAAGAAGCTTAGACTTGTTAAATTTTGTTTCTAACAAAGATAAGTATATTTTTTTGTATGTATACTTATACAATGTACTTTACTTCTAGAAATGACATTACAAAATTTTCAAATTTCAAACAAATCACACATTTATGATTAGATATTAAATAAGAGCGGAAAATTAAATAAATTTATTGTAATTAATTCCAAGGACCAAACACTTCATAAATATATAGTTTATACCTTGGTTTATACTGGATTTTCTTTGAAAAAAAAATCTGACAATATATAAATATCTAATTATAAGCATAAAGATAAAAAAATATAACAATCATTTCGTTACAAGAACTTATCAAAATCTATCTAATAATATATAAATTCTTCATGTCATCAAGATAGTACAAATATGAATGTGAATTTGACCAAAGGATGGTTATAAATAATGATCATTTGACCATTGTAAATATCCAGCACATTGACAGTGTAAATTGAAAACATGGAGCAGAAATTTGAGACTCATGGATGTTTAATTGAAATAGAATAGTAGGATCTTTCATGGCATTTTAATTATTTCATTATTAGATCGATTCTCAGGGCCAATTCTTTCACTTTTATATTTAATTAAAATAAATATATTATTCAATAAATAATGAAAAAAATATTTTAAAAATCATAAAATCTTTCAGCTTAAAAAACTATGTAACTTAAAATATAACGTATCACTTTTTAAGCATTTAACATTTGATTCAGAATGTAAACTTTTACGACTTATAGTTACGTATACATATATAAATTCAACTATTACAACTGACCTGCATTGGAATGTCTTGAGAAGTAGTAGTAGTAGCCGAACTCAGTGCCACTGAATTCTGAGACTGTATATACTGAGAATACTGCCAATATCTCACTCTTGGATCTTCCCATGTTGTAGTTCGATTGAAATGATTTATGAAATATCTGAAGATCACCATTAACAGTTATAAGTATCTAATCCATTGTTTCAAAAAAATATTACGTACATCGATGATTTTCTATATATTTTTATAGAACTCTCAATGCGTTATCATCATAAATGTCTAATCAAAATTTTATTAAGTACAAAGCATCTCGATTAATACATGTAGAATATTATCTATTATCGCGCTATCTTTTTCATTACTTTTTGACAATTTGATCGTATATTTATTTCAAGAATCATAAAGAATTATTGAAAACGAAGTACTTACAACTGTTTCGCATAATATAAATTTATTGATATAGGAAGATTTCGATTTTTGGAACTCTATTAGTAAGCTGTTGATCTTTAATGAAAAGAATAAAAAGATAACTTCTAAAGTGCACTTTACGTACGGGCGACCACTGCGAATATCATATCTGCATTCCCAGCCGGGAGGTAATTGACTCCTATCACTCTGTTCCGCCATTTTTCGTGTTCTTTCAATTGCAACAAATTATTACGTAGATTGTCTTTTCTCAAATCGACTACTAGTTTGATACTAATACTAACTACTGTGGAAACCACAGACACCACAGTCCACAAACACCTATATAAATACACAGGCTTCTATCTAAATATTACACTAGACTGCTAACTCCCTAAATTTCCATACGTAAAAGTGCTACCTGCGCAAATTAGATGCGTAGAATAAGACCGTCACGTGACCGCACGTACAGAAAAGAGAGGCTATATGATAGTAAAAGAGGGGAGTGGCGACTTGCACACAGTTCAATTGCACACACCACTCACATCGCTCTCTTCCTAGTAATTTTTTACTGCTTCACCAATTATATTGGGTCATCTAAAAAGTATCCGCGGTACTTTGTCACTATATATATGACCATCAACACACATCTAGTGACAAAAAACCGCGGATACTTTTTAGATGACCCAATATTATTTTACATTTCAGTCAATTGGTATATATCAATTGGATGTGAGCAATTGATATATACTCGTAAAAGAGCTGTGCAACGGCGTTATAATGGGTACTTTCCAGAGAACAAGATATACAGATGACAGTGTAACACATATGCTCATATTCATAGTCAGATCTTATAATTAAGGTTTCCTTAAATTTATCTTTAGATCTCAGTAGCTAATGAAATAATTCGTAGAGTATCTGAAAATAAATTTAAGGAAGCCTTAAATATAAGGCCTGACTATGAATACGGGCAATAGTGTATTCGACTCGAATTTGTACCAATCTAGGTTGGATTAATAACGTTGTATGCTCTCCTATTGATGGAATATGTAACGTCAACCAATAGTAGAACATTATCCAACCCAATGGGAGCAAATCTGCTCGGGTCGAAAACGCTAACAGTGAATCATTATATTCTTTTTGTTTACTAATGTTAAACAAAGATGACATGATTTTTGTCACATTGTATTGCTGGAAAGCATTAAATAATAATGAAATTTGCGTTTAGAGTTACAAAATAGACCTGCAGTCTGCAATCTCTCTGAGGCTGCGGTCGATTTAAACGCTTTTAGCACTTTTCAATAGTTCTATTCTTATTTTACATCTAATGAACGATAAAGACAAAATGATAATTACAAGCGTTTAAAGCGCGTGAGCGTCCAAATTAACCGTGTTGTAAAAACATGTAAAGTGGTCTCGTAAATACCTCTCAGAAAGAAATCATAAAGCGATCTGCCTTAGTAAATGTTTAAGAGGTGAACTCATTTCTATGGAAAAAATATATCATGTTCATCTTTTACTTTGTATTTCTTTTAAAGAAATCGACAAATCTAGGGAATTTTGAAATTGATGAACGGTAATGTATTGGGTCATCTAAAAAGTATCCGTGGTTTTTTGTCACTAGATGTGTGTTGATGGTCATATATCTAGTGACAAAGTACCACGGATACTTTTTAGATGACCCAATATATGTAAGAAAGTATTAGGTGTTGGAATTAATTCGTAGCGTTTTTAATGAAAGAATGTTATTTATTTCACATGAGCATTAAAAAATACATTAATGAAAGTACTTCCCATCACTTGTAAAACGCTACGAATTAATTCCAACACCTAATATATATTGAGTCATCTAAAAAGTATCCGCGGTTTTTTGTCACTAGATGTGTTGACCATCAACACCATCTAGTGACAAAAAACCGCGGATACTTTTTAGATGACCTAATATTTTAATTATGTACATATTTTTAATATAAATTAAACTTTACAACTATCATAATTGATCAAAATTTATAATTTATTAATCTTTAATATATAAATTGAGAAAATTACACAATCCCATTTCATTCAAAAAGATTCTTTTATCTTTTAAAAAAATATAAACAGAAAATATAACAACTTTTTGTATAATATCTTATTAATTTGTATATATTAAAAAACTTAATATTTATGGTATTATAAATAATCATTATAATGATGTAATTACTTAAACGCTGGAAGTATATATTCAAAAGTATATATCTAAGTAAATGTTGAGATAATTATCACATTTTATTTTACAGTACCTTTCTTGCTTTTATCGTTACCATACATAGCATCCAAAAATAAACCTAAAAATACTACAAGTGTACTCAACCATTGCCTAAGAGAAAGATTATTACCAAAAATTAATATAGAACCTAAAACAGTAAAAAATTTCCTAGTAGTGGTTATAATTGAACATGGCAGTGGACCAAATTCAGCTACAGTTAGAAATATAAAATATTGTCCAAATGCTCCAGCCATAGAAAATGTCGTTATATGCCATATGGTGGAAGGATATCTTTGTAGGAAACGAATAAATTCAAAAAGTTCTCCAGAAATAAGTATCACTGTGCTACTAAAGATAACAGACCAAAAGTTCATATTGAGCATCATGTGTCCTGACTTTGAGTTATGTTCAGCTCTCATTCGTTCCTGCACTGCACTTGTTAATCCATCCATCGTTAACGATAATAATAATAACAATTCTCCAACTGATAATTGTGACTCTGCTTGCTTTTTAGAAACATTACCATCCTTATACATAAACAATGCAACTCCAACGACAATCAAGAAAATGAATATGTACTTTCTAATTGGATATATCTGTAAAGAAAAAATGATAATTAAAAAATGATAGCAAAATATTCAACATATGAAACTATCTTGGTAAATAGACTTATTAAATTGCATACCCTTTTTCCTAGCAATACACCTAATACCATCACAGGTATAGGCTTGCCAGCTTTACCGATCACTTGCGTTGGATAATTAACAAACTGTAATGCCATGTTACTGCACACCATAGCAAGAAGATATGTTAGGGCAGACAACGAATAATATACAGTTCTTGTAGTATCCTCGCCTTGTTTCATCACAGTCAACAAAATCATTTTAGCAAATATGTAATTCACCAGACACTGGATGAAAACCAGTGCAAACATGTACGTAAATTTTTCCCGATTCTCCCCATCACCATACTGTCCACGTGTAATTTTCTCTTGTAACATACCAAAGTAGAAATAGCACACAAATATGCCGGTCGAGCATATGAACAATTTAGTATATTTGGTAGTAACCATTTTTCAACAGATATAATATTATAAAACCACATAAAAAAATGCCTGTCTTTTGTTGTGTCACCCGCGTTATTTCAATCAGAGCAAATCAAAGAATTCGAACTGGAGGACCTTTTAAACTTTAAAGACACGATTTCATGTAGTCGAGCTTCGCTGGCGAAATTCCCCCACCCCGTCGAAAACGAAGCAGCGTTCAAATCAAATCACAGATCTCTTATTACATTAGACTGCTAACTCCGTTCCTTTAACTGCTATCAAAAATTTGCCAATACGCATGCTCAAACTAAGACCCACGCCAGTCCAATCAACAGAGAGATATACGACATCTTGATCCAATCATAGAGAAGTATATAACATCTTGAATCAATTACGAAGAAGCTAGTAGAATTGGCATAAACAAAGTGAAGTCAATCATGTGTCTAATACTGATTGGCTATACCGTTTTTAAGTAAACCCCTTATGTCCACGATGCTAGAAATCGGTCCGAGATTTCGGGCAGAGAAAAAATTAACAAATCACATTTGACAATTTGATCACATGACGATTGATCAATTCTTTCTTCATCCGAGGTCTCGATTTTTATACTCATATTCATAGTCAGGTCTTATATTTGAAGCTTCCTTAAATTTATCTTTAGATACTCTACGAATTATTTCATTGGCTGCTGAGCATTTAAAGATAAATTTAAGAAATCCTTAAATACAAGGTCTGACTATGGGTACGGTCAACGCAATGCTGCAAACGCTTTGAAGCGTTTTTTAATTGAGTTTGTAAAATTCTTTTTTCTAACTGATCCATCAAATTTCAAAACATTTGTAGCGAGACTTTGATCACAGTCTATGAATACGGGCATCATGGATACAAGGCTTTAATTAGGAGATCACATTAAAAAAAGAAAAGGTTAGGATTCGTATTCAGAACGCGCTTACAACGAGTTAGTGCGCTAATATGCTATAATTTATGTTACGCATACTATAGAATTTCAGAGATAAAAGCATGTTCTGAATACGGGCCTATATAAAACCAACGGCACATGATGTTTAAAGGTGCCTTTTCATACTGACGCTCATTTTAGCGTCAAAATAAGGTGAAATCACATGGTGTGAAAAAAGGCTGCGGAATAAAAAATACATTATAGAAGTAGAATTCTTTTTTTTAATTTCTTTTGGTGTATTTTAGATCATCCAGCGATTTAGATCATAGCAGCGATTTAAGTTGAGTCTTCTGATTTGCGACCATTATTGCCTTGCTGATTGGCTGCCGCTTGCTGCGCCAACTGAACTAGACATAAGACTAACCTAAAACTTAACCTTTAACCTAACCTTTAATTTACCTAGACTTACTTTATTATAAAAGCACGGGAAAACAGTGTAATACATATCAATACGTCAAAGAATCCTCTGTCAAAGTACTGTGTGGAGTGACAGAGATATTATAATTCGCCTTCATTCGGAGGCATCTTTTAATAAATATGATACTTCGATATTATATTCGAAGAGTTTAAATATTAATTATAATCTTGTAGTACTAAGCTTCAATTACTCGCCTTATGCTGATCACACCTTAGGTAAATTACACGAAAGTTTACATCGAACACCAAACAAAATCAATTTTGAATGTTACTCGTGAACAGACAGCTCAAAGCAAAAATGACAATACTGAAGCAATATTACTAACGTCATATCTGTGTGTCATCTTTAAGAGGAATATTTTATTAAAAAATTTCAATGGAGGTAAGATTTAACTGTCAGTACAATTTATTCAACTCCCCAATATTTTTTATTTATGACACATTAAATTATACCTTGTTCGCATCGCTCGCATGCTTTTTGCATAAATAATATGTAAGTGTATCTCAGTGTCTGTCTTCCGAAATTCCATTTATTCCATCTATTATAAAACGATGAAACTTTTACTTTCAATTTTTTACAGTAAAAATTTTTATGATTTTTAATAAACTAATGAATTTTTTCAGCCTGGTTTGTCAAAATAGAATGTAACACGATTATGATATAACTTCAACACAATTGTGATAATCGTGATTGCGTTTCAAATACAATATTTCTTTTAGCACGATTTATGTTTAT